ACTTCTTTTGGTTAGATACCCAGAAGTGAAACTGCTGGATCATATCATATAATAATCTTATATATTTGTTGAGGACTGCCATAGTGTTTTCCACAGTGACTGCACCATCTTACATTCCCACTAGCAGTGCACAAGGGTTCAACCTTAGCATTGATTCCAACTTTTCACCACCATTCACAACTAGGAGGACCATCTTCATTATGAAGAAAGTGATTGTACCAATATCTCTTCAAGTGCTCTCTCTCCCCACTTGGGAGATGTCTTTAGGACAAACTCCCAGCAGTATATTTGCTGGGTTCAAGGGCATATGCATCTAAAATGATCTTGAATACACCAAATCACCACACTGCTGTGCGTGATGGGGCTCCTCTCTCAAGTCCCACGACCACTGGACCTACTTGTCCATCTTACCAGCTGGAGCCCCGTCTTCCTGAGCGTCTCTCTCAGTTTGTCTTTGTCTTGGGCTCAGCCTGTGGCTGCACTCACTGTTGGTGCTGCTCTTGCTTAGAGACATAAGTCCCTCTACTTCTGTCTGCCTGGTTTTCCCTGGTACCTTGTCACCTTTCCCCTTGGGCTGACTTTCTGCCTCCGTCAGGCTCTGCATGCCTCTGTCTGGCTCGGTCTCTCTTCTCTTTTCTCCTCTTTGTCTCTGTCATCGTGTCTCTGCGTATGTCCTTCACTCTCCTGACTGGACTCCATACCCGTTTCTCCCCAGCCACCTGTTCTGTCATTCATGCTAGTTCGGGTCCCCTGCCCTGGTGCCCTATTCTGGGATGGATGTGGACATTTGGGCAGCCCTGTGCTGGGCACGGCAGGCTGGGAAGCTCTGGGGCCAGGAGGGCGGAGGGGAAGAACTAGACAGTGACTGTTCGTAGACTCAGCCCAAAGCCGGTTGTGGCTTCCAACACCAGGCCTTGCCCCAAGCCCTGGGATTCCCTTCCCCTCTCCCCCCGCCCCCAGGCTGGGGGCAACTTCCTCCTTGTCTCTGTCCAGTGGGCTCCCATACCTGTGCAGACCAGGTTGTCTCCACGCCTGCCTCTGCTGTAAGCGGATCGCGACACGCCACGGAATCGCTGCGCCTGCTTGGGCAGAGACCAGAGAGTGAAAAAGAGGAACAGGCTGTCATCCTGACCCATCCGTCCGGGCCAGGCGGGCCGCCCCACCCTTCCCAGCAGGCAGGCGCGG